CTTCCGATCAAGGTTAGCTTTGGCTTCTCGAACGTAGTCTAATGGATCATCCCTTAATTTAATATTTAAGGGAAGGAGGGCATAGCCTATCCAATTTCCTATTTTATTACTAAGCTGAAACCCTACTAGTTGTCTCACGCTAACAATCACAACTGATCTTAGGCGAATTAATTTTTTCGGATTGCTGTCTTTGTTCTCTTTTTCATTCTGTCCTTCAGCGTCAATCTTGCTTTCAAGACCTGTTCCAAATAAAAGGAATCATTGTTGTCATCTCATTCCCTATTGATTCTGTGATTATAGTACAAATCCAAATATCCACCAACATAACGAAAAGGACCTAACCCAATATTACTCAAAAAATAGAGCTTAGTTTCACTCCACGACCACAAGCCTAACATCGTACGATTTATTGATTGGGCATGGACCATAAAGTGAGGTTGTTCATATCAAAACATGAATTCAATCATTCTAAAAGAAAAAGGAAAGGCATCCTAATCAACTACTATAATTCATTGATGGTTCTTTGTAGTAGTTGATAAACATGCCAATGTGAACATATATTAAGATGCTAAGATGAAAAAAAGAAAAAAAAAAAAAACAATAATTCTAAGAAAAAAAAAAGAAGATAAATCTATGGAAAATGGAAGTTTACCATATCTTCTATCGTAATACATGGATAATCCAGCCTGTGTGGCGCCCACAACAACAACGTTTATGGTCTGCAAGAGGTAAAGCATACATAAATATTGATGATTAATGGTGACAAATCTTAAAAAAGAAAAAAAATCCTTAATGTAATTAACATGCGTGCCAACTGTTTTTAAAGACAAATGGTCGGTCTGTTCATAAATTTGAATATAAATTTTTATTTTTTTAAAGAAAAATACTCGAACAAAATGGTTCAAAAACAAACAGGCTAATTTGCTTACCGTGTTCAATGTGTTCTTCACTAACTTGAGATCATCCAAACTAACATTCTTGAAAACTATTCGCCGACTAGTTCTTTGAGTAGTACCGGGACGACCTTTAATTTTAGGCAGCCCCTTATTTGGGTACAAGAACATCGACACAGCAACCACCAAAAGATCAATTGTTGTATTCAAGAACAACCTTAAAAACCACCAGATCCCGAACAAGAACAGCAATAATTTTGTAGCAAAACCACCTTTCTCGATCTCACTTTTTCTGTTGGTGTTACTCTTGTTAGTTATAAGCGTCGGCGAAGCCTTGGGGTCGGAGGTTTGGCGAGTGCAAGAGAGTAAAACCGACATGAGAGATATGCCGTCGCCAAGAGAGTGGTGAACCCTTAGAATTGCGGTGCTCTCGGCCTCGGAGGTTTTAATGTCGAGAATGTGGAGGTCCCAAAGAGGCCGTGACATCTCATCGTTGAGGTAGGTTTTGGTGAGGTCATGAACGTAGTCTTCGATAAATTTGTCCCCCGATGTGCGCGTGGAACGAGCTGATTCGTCCACCTCCGGAATTATGACGTGCTTGTCCAAATCCACTTTTGTTCTAACCCATTTCATAATTCCATCTTCCTCATCCTCAACCTGTGTTTATGACAAGGAAATTGAGAAACAAAACGTTTGTATAAATATATATGTTTGTATTGATACACACACATATATCTTTTTTCTGATCATGAACTGATGAAAAGAGAAAGCTGATGTTTGGAAGAACTAGAACGTTGCAATTAGATTGACAACTATTAGCAAACGTTGTCTCCCACTAGATTGGGAATCTAGTCTAGATTAGTGTTTCAGATATGGAAAAAAATGAATGTGGTTCGAAATTTCAAAAAAAAAAAAAAATCTAATTAGATTCCCAATTTAAATTGAGAATTTTGGTTCAAACTCGTGAAATAACTGATAATTTTGTTTCTCATTCAAAATTTTATAAAATAGATTAAATATTAATCGCTACTATAATTTAGATAATAATGTAAATTAACAAAGCTGAAAACAAAAATACTGTATTATAACAATTTTATAATATTGGAAACTGTGGAATATGGTAGGTTATCTTGATTAGGTTCATGGAAGATACTTTTCTTTCTTGAGTGACAAGTAATTAATTAGTTGCATGCTGCATTCTTACCAGCACACTAGAGAAGCGATAGTTCTTAAGCAAAGTGTCGGGCAAGTTGGCCTTAACATCCACGGGGTCAATTTTGCTCTTCAGCCCTATGATTGATACGACATGCAGATTGAGCTTTGGTTCTTGGAACAAACGACTTGTCGGACTTAGCGGCATTTCTTCTTCCTTATCGCTCTCTTCTTCATCACAAATATCATATTCTTCTTCTGATGATGATGATGATGATGATGATGATGATGATGATGATGGTGGTGGTGGTGATGGTGGTGGTGGTGATGTTCCGTTTGGAATTTTTGTTTGAATAGGTTTCAGAGATTGCTTTCTCAATTTGATATCTTCATCCGACTCCATGTCGTTACATGGCCAAATTACACTCTCCCCCATCTATGTATCTTTGTGTTATAAGGATTTTCTTACTAACATTTTTTTTTTGGTTTGCATGGATCTTCTTATATATTTCTTTTTTGCTGAAAAGTAAAGGGATATTCATTGGTGTCATTCGGGTCCCAATTTCTTTTGTTGCTTTAACAATTTTGGGGCCGTCAATACAATAAAAAGAATATGATTCAATTCTACTCAAAAGATGGGTCTAATATATCACTACATCCTTAATATTATACAACACATTGATCGAATAGAAATCTTAAAATAGGAATTATATGTGATATTTATTAATTCTTTGAGGCAAAAGAGTTAAAATAGAGTAAGTTTAGTCTCCGTTGCAAAATGATATATAGGTGGGTTTATAAGGACGGACACCCATGCTTTCATTTTCATTGGAACTTTAAAATAAAAAAAGTAGTGTACATTTTGACGAGTCAAATCACATTAAGTTTAAATAATATGCAAATCTGATTATTGAGAAACAAAATTATTGTAGCTTCTTTTTTTTCTTTTTCTTTTCTTTTTTCCTTTATCTTACCGCAAATTTCCCTGCTACGCTTCGATATGTTCTATGTCCGGTCTTGAGACATGAGTGTGACAAGAAAGTACTGTCTTTATCACGTGCTCTTTTTTTTAAAAAAAAAAAATCTGATTATCACGTGCCTTTTAACTTAAAAGTTCAACAAAGCGAGTCTCGACTCTAGTATGGAGTGGACCTGTGGCCATGTTCAATTGAAAATCTTTTTACTCCAAAAAAAAAAAAAAAAAAACAAATGCTTTGTATGCATTCAATAATGTTGTCCGACATTTTGATCGACGTAAGGTAAAATTTTTATGGTCGGATTATATCAGAATTTTATCATGTAAAAATAACAAATTTAATAGAAAATATTGGCGGAGATCTTAGGATTAATCAAATTGTGTTATATAATATGTTATCTTTTTATCTTATCCTACTACACATTCTGCTAATATAATTCAAATAAAAGACATTAGATATTTACATACGGATAAAACTAATTCTCACAAATATTTATATATGATTTATGAAAAATAAGTATATATTTGTATTAAATAAATAAAAAAGCAAACATGTTTTTTTATAGTTCAGGGATTGCATCTAGGTGGAAAATTCATTCAGCAAAAAAAAAAAAATCTAGGTGGAAAATTCAGGATTGATTCTAGAGAGAGAAAATTTCAGTTCCTCCAATGAAATTCTTCTTATAGGCATTCTTAAAGTTATGAAATAACACACCTGTCGTCCAATTTAAAGATAGACATTTAAAAAAAAAAAAAAAAAAAAAAAAAAAAAAAAAATTAAAAAAAAAAAAAAAAAAAAAAAAAAAAAAAAAAAAAGAACATGGTGAGTTTTGATGAAAGACTTTTCAGGAGACAAAATTGACTACTTAGACTAATTTTAGAGAGAAAAGAGAAGTTAGAGATATCTTATAAATTTATCCCAATCTCATTTGAAGATTGGAATATTTCTAGTGAAAAGAAGAAAATAAATTAGCATAGGAATCGAGTTTACCTCGAGTCAAAAAATAAAAATAAAAAGGAGCACAAAAAAAAAGAGTATTTGTTTGATTCATTAATTGGAATTTATTTATTATACTTCCGTATGCATATTGCTTTTCAACGTATTTTCTTAAGAATTAAGAGGTATTTGATCGGTTGTATATGACGTTTAAGGAGAAATTTTGTGGAAATTTTGAAGAGAGAAACACAACAATCTCTCTCAAATTGTTCAATTTTTATTATGAAGTATACACCAAATCTCAAGTTGGCTCCTAATTTTCAATTTCGGTGATTTCAAAGTCACCCCCCGTGTGACGCTTTTTCGTTCAAAATTGGACACATTATAGACGGAGGGCCAAAAGTACAACAACAAATATTGAAAAAACGTGAAGTATAAAACAGAAAGTCAATGGCCAACTTAGAATCGAGTGTATAATTCCCCTCAAAAAAAAAAATAAAAAATAAAAAATTCGGGCGTATAATTCGTAGGCCATTTGTGAAAATAACCCATAAGTTTATCATGTCGATTTGATAAACAAGTAGGTCCCTCTTTCTAAATAATTTAGTATTTATTAAAGGAAGAGGCATTATATATATAGTAATGATTAAAGAGAGGTAGCTAAGAGGGTGGTCACATACAAAGACTTGAATCATTTCCCCTTTTATATAGTCATTAAGGGACAAGTAAGAATACATTAGGATTCTCACCAAAATAAAAATATAAAAAGAGAGTAAGAATACGCTACATACAATTTTTTTTTTTTTTTTCAAAGACGATTTTATCTGTTAGAGCATCACCAATTCAATGTTAATTAATGTGCTAATTACAAATTTAGTATTTGTGTAAGAAAACACTCTCTAATACAATATTTTTTGTGCCAAATTTTCTTATATATTATACTTTATAGCAAATTTCTCATCAAGTATAGCATAAGAAAAATTTAACATTCAATTGCTATTGATTGAAATGTTTACTATTTTATATAATCATTGCCACTTTTATATTTTCTAATTATTTTAAAAATAAAAGTTTAATTTTACAACTTTCAAAGCTTAATAATTATAGAAAAAATAAATTTAGTATTTTAAATAGCATTATGCATTGAAGTAAAAAGTAAAATAACATATTATATCATATTTTTTAATGTTATATATACAGTTGACATTAACATTTGTATTAAAATAATCTTAAAATTCATTCAATTTTTACTGTTTGATAAGTGAATTTTCTTTCAACGTCTTAGATCCTTTGTTTTGTCATCTAGATGCTTAAAAATGAAATACATGTACAACATTGTACTTCTACCGTCAAACGCCGTGGCCAATTTTAGCATTGGTTTTGCAATTATAGCATCACTTTTCTAATAATGCTTGACACGGTTGTATGTTTGGTGAACAAAAAAAAAAACAATCATTCAAGAATATGACCCACTGCCATAGCGGATATTAGAAGCAAGTCATTCATTAGAAATCAACGGTTTTCTCCTCGTCTTCATTCCTGGTGCTACCATACTCGCTCTTCATTAATTAGTTAACTCATCGAAGATCATCTCGTAGAATAAATGCTAATTAGCATTGGTATCTTGTTAATAATGCTAAAACACAAGTTCCACCCAGATAATCCGGGCAAAGGGGTGTTGCGGGTGCACGTCTGCATTGCATATGCTTACCTTGCGAAGTGGATTGTCCATCTACCTTGTACATCATGATAGAACTGACTCAAACCCAATACTTTTTCGAGAAAACCAAATAGCTTTACTGCCCCCACTAGATTACCGGTGGTAAAACATTCTCAAAGGCTCTACTCCAATCTTTTTTATGAATGAGGGAGCAAGTTTTCACCTAGTTGGAGCGTGGCATTATCATCATTATGAAATGAATAGTAAAGAATATAATCGGAGATCGTTGAAACAGTAACATTTAAGCTAACCAGCCTAAGAAACCGTGGGACATGAGCTATCACACTGCATCTCTTCTCGCATTAGTGTCTAAGGAATTGGTAAACCATGAATTAAAGAATGATAGCTATCCTATAACCAAATTTCAACGGGAAATTGATTTAATTATATTCTTTTACTTGGACCAAGCCACCGCATCAATCTCTGCCTGCGCACTTCGATATAACTCCAGCCTCTTTGCAAGGGATGTACGACGCTGCATAACTGCGGGATCTTCATCCAATAGTGAAGCCAATTGTTTGGTCTGCAAACAAGATTAAGACAGGTAATTAGCATAATCTAGCTCTTCTTTCCTTTAATTTTCCCCAATTTTCTCGCACAAAAGTTCAATTAGAGATGGGGTTCAGGAATTCCTTACCTCTTTTTTACCCAACTCTGCGAAAAAGTAATCGAGTAAACTACGTTTGGCCTCCCGTACTTGGCAATAGACAATTGACTTTGGTATGGCATTCCTTAAACTTGCACAAGCCATGTTGACATAGGATAATACAACACTTCCTGTTTGGATCCAACATAAGAAACTAAATTAGAAGAAAAATCGTCTTTAAAAGTGTAATCAACGTTTTAGCCAAAAAAAAAAAAAAAATCACTAAATGGACGAGATTGCACTAAATCACTAAATCTAACAATAGAGAATGATAGGCAAGTCCATTGTAAACCCCTAAACAGCAGTGCTATACTTGATTAGTACTAAAATAACCAAATGGGCGAGATTGCACTACTGCTTAAGACATACAAGTTATCCTGACGGCGTATTTCCACATTTTTTTGTAAGCTGTTCAAACTTAGAACTCATAGTCGAGGAGATGGTAATACTTTTAGCAACTTACCAACACGACGGAGATATGCGTCATTGTATCTATCGAAAATTGAGTGTGTTGGATTTCCACCCTTTTCAATATCTTGAGGAAGCTTACGGAAGAACTCAACAGTCAGGTAGCCACACTCCATATCGACCAACTGAAGAGTTGCTTTCTTGCTTTCTTGTCTCAACCTGTCCAATGATTCAATAGCTGCATTCCCAACTTCCACTCTCAAACTGGGATACTGCTTTAGTTCCTATACAAACAACAAAAGAAAATTCCAGTCAGTTACATCTAGGAAAATCTGATAACCTATGTTGAATAAGAACTTTCATCATAGGCAATGCTCGGTGTTCAATACAGGCAAGTACTGCTAGATAACTTCTTTCATCTATCAACCTTGTCCCGTATGTTTCCAACTAACTCATTTTTCATAGGTCATTTGACCAACCAATCAAACAAAGCTCACTGAAATTAATCAAGTAGTTCAGTATGCCGGAGGACTTACCATGGTCTCACCAAGAGACTTGTGAATCAGTTCCTTTAATATACCATGTACCTAAATCACAAGGAAAACATGATGTCAAGCAAACAAAATTTCAACATCCATAGGAAACACTTCCGCAGTAACACATGCCACATAGAAAACAATACTATTGACAATCAAAGCACCAGCATTAGTAAAAACATGAAGCAAACACGCGACAAAGGCCTTTTGAGATTCGATCATAGAAAACTTGTAAAGAAAGCAGTAACCTCTCACTTTGAAAAGGTATTGAAGAGGTAAAAAATTGTTTCATGGTTTTAATTGCTGCAAGAAATCACGTATTAAAAAAAAAACAAAACAAAAAAAAAAAACTCTAAAAGATACTACAAATATTTAAGAATATTTCTCTAGAAAATATACCGCATCAACAGCTGCCTCAGCAGGACCTCTGATGCATATTATGGAAGATTCAACCAGACGCCGGTATCCTTGTTCGGGAGCAATTAGATGAGGTTGATATCCATCTGCTTCGGTAATTATCTTTCGTACATTATCCATTGAAAGATGTTTGTCCAACTGCAACCTCTTCAAAGCAGCTGGAAATTGATTATCAAAAACACCGTAGATTTTATCACCCCCGGGCCGCCTGGAGATGTCATTTATCACAAGTCAAAGGCTTGAACTCCAAACCCTAGTGACATGAAAATAATAACAATAATAATAAATTAACAACAATACTTAGAGTGCAAGAAAACGTACACGCCATCAAGGTGCTCTTTAAATATCTGATCAAAAGTACGACAGATTTCCAAAATCATGTATAGCTTTCCCTGCATTACAAAAATAAATAAATGAATAACAATAATAATATTACTAATCTTTCAAAGGTGCGCGAAGTCTTAAAGAGCAGAAAGCAAGAAAAAGGCAAGCCACTAAAGGACGAAAAGGGGTATTCCAACATTCATTGTGACATAAATATCAGTACACTGAATCAAAGGAAAAACAGAGAAAAAAACACAAAAGTTCACTTCCTACCCCGGCATCAGTAGCAACGGGCCTCCCAAGACGGCTCAATTCTGACTCCAGCTCCGCAATAGTCTTGCTAATAAGAGACTGAAGGCTTGGAATTCGAGACTTAATCACAGTTTCTAAATGCTGAAAAGATGATCACAGAAATTTCATGTAAGGAATTATATAAAAGAAAGAGAACACTGAATATTACCTCAAATGGAATATTGAAAGCAACAGCGAGGCGCATTTGCTGTATGTCTGTATTTATAGCTCCAAACAATAGATAATCATGCATTATATGTCCAACCAAATGTACATCCATTGAGGAAACAAAAATGAATAGAAACAATTATACCTTAGAAAGCATCTTTCCTAAATGCTCAGAACCCATCCGATGAGCAAGATGCTTGTACTCGGGGGTATTAGCAAAATACTCGCGCTCTCTACGTCGAGCAGCAATCATATCAACACTCTTGTTGATATCAGCTTGGGAGCGATTAACAACACCAATCCAAGGAAACTGAAGCTTATATGATTTTCCTTCCAAGATCTAAGAAAAAGAGAGAAAGGATAGGAGGAAGTTTAACAAGCAGAAGCCATAAAAAATTTAAAAAAAAATAGAACTCTGACAGAAAAATACAAAACAAAATAATACCATATTTATCGCAGAAAATAACATAACAACAACAACAAAAAACACAGTTGGTGAAACCACATTAAAGCATACTTCGAACAATGATTTTCTCTTCCTTTTTTTTTATTTTTAAAAGTGGAATGAAAGGTGAGATCTTCTAAGGTCCTAAATACTTCTATTCCATAACAGAAAAGGTTCGCTTGATAACTTGATCCTATATCATGATGATTCCTTGTTGTTTAAGTTAATATTTTAAAACTAATTTTTGGCTACGAATCTAGAATAAAACTTACATCAACCGCATTAGTACCCTTGTCCATAAGGTCAATCTTTGTCAAAACTCCAAACGTCCTCTCCCCTGAATAAATGATAACCAAAGAAACTTATGGTACACCACATAAATGACATCAGCAACGAATTCATCCATTCTACTACATCTATATTGATATCAAACACAACTGAGCTAATATCATCCATTACTATAAGGAATTGTTCCACTCTTACCTCTGGGGTCTACTTCGCGGGAGATTTTAATTGCATCAGATGTGGCAAGATCCTGGTTGGCAGGGGAAATTGCAAGAATAATACAGTTGGGCTGCAACAAAATTAACCTAATAAGCGATTGCATAGAAAATTTTCTTCAACCATAAATCATAAAGAGAGAAAACCACAAATATAACCTAAATCTTCAATTATACCAAAAATAAATATCAAAAGTATGTTTTCCTAAAGTTAACTCAACCTCAAAGTAGCTCAAAAGTACATAGGAAGTTCAAGTAATACCATTTCATTAAGAAAATTTAACTACCAAACAGTTGATAAACATGTCAAAAATGATGCAAGTGCAACCAGATACCTTCTCAATGAATGACCGAACCATATTCTCGATGTCCTGTACAATGCTATCCGGTTGACCCTCTGAAAGACGAGAATTAGCATAATGTCAATTAAATACACGAAATTATAGTGCAGTTATGTATTGCTAACTAGCTAGCAGAAGCTTTGCCACATTACTTACCAACAGCTACTTTCGTAAGTCCAGGAAGATCAATCAATGTCAAGTTCACAACTGCCAGAGTCAAACAAGCGTAAGAATACATGAGAACAGTTGACGCAAAACATTGTTACACCAACATTTACAAGAAAGAGACAATTCCTAGATTAAATAGCTTATGATCCCCAAATAATTGAAAGAGCGCATTTCTATACCATTTGGAGAGTAGATACTGAGATGGATTGGAACGCTAGAAATTTGCTTGCTGCTGCGACCAGTCTCGCGATCGGTCTCATCCGAGATCTCCTTCCTCACAGCAGCTAAGAAATACAATATTAACATATTAGAAAAAACCAAAACAAATAATCATCAACCACAGAAGCTAAAATTACTTTTTTTCCGAATCTAAGGCAATAAATAGTTCAAAAAAAGTACGCAACAAGAAACTGATCAGAATTTATTTTTTCTTAGAGGAAGAGTTATACCAAAATCAGTGAACCTTTTCCTTGGGAGGTGCATAAACTCTGCATATTCTCCTCCTTCATCAGTCCTATGAAGTTGCAAGACAAGAGGACGCCGAGTAACAATCCCTGCATATTATGTTTATGTGTTTTAGCATTGAATATAAGAAACTTACTAGAAATTGACAAGAAATAATTGAACACAAATTACCAGATCCACGAGGCAAAAAATCCTTCCCAACAACACTCTCCAAGACCGAAGACTTGCCAGAGCTCTACAAACCAGAAATCGAGAAGATCAAGTTGAAAGAAAATCAAGAAAATGCATAAAACACGATCACAAATGAAAAGATGATCGAGATAGGACCTGGCCTCCGACGACAGCGATGGATGGCAATGCGTCCCAGAGAGTAGGCAAGGCGCTTTCTTCGCCGTGATCGCCGAGGGCGGTGCAGGCTCTCTGTATCTTGTTCACCAACGAGATCAGGTTTTCCATGGCCGGGAAGACGAGCTGGTTCGGGAGCAGAGGCTTGGCCGGAGCGAGATGACTGAATTGACGCGGAATGTGTGTCTAAAACAGAGGAAAAGGAGGTTGGCGAACGAAAGAACCGGGAAAATGGGAATTGGTAGACGAGGACACGTAAAAAGGAGAGTGGAATTTTCAAACGTATGTTTGAAATTTTGAATATTCAGTCTGGGCTGAACCGACCAAACTTTGGGCTTTAACGGTCCATCAAAGGCCCAAATCATCACCTGAGTAGTCCAGTATTATTTCGAAAAAATTACAAGAAATAAAATAAAATTACTAAACTTATGAGTATGGAATTTTTTACCTTTTATTTTTAATTAGTACTTTTTTATATAGTTATTTCACTAAAAATGTATTAATTAAGAGTAAGTGATAAAAATTAAGACTCATGTACTTTTAAGGAGTATTTGTCAAGACTTCTTCAAAAATAACCATTGTTTTTTATCATCTTATTATTTATGACATTAAAACATATTCTGGTAAAATATAAAACATATTTTTGATAGATTACAAAAAATATATCCTATTAGAAAAAAATATTCTGATATAATATGCAAAATATTCTACCAGATTATTAATGAGAAAATAATAAATTTAAGTTGACGGCAGAAATAAAATAATGTTCTCTTTTATGTGATATTCTTAAATGTTTTCCTATTACTTCAAGGGATTTTTTAGTGTATTGCAAAATCTTAGTAGTAATTTTTTTATAAGAATCTCACTAGTAAAATTGAAATATAGTAAAATTTTTAAATTATTTTAAGAATAACAAAATTAATATCATTAAAATAGTTACTATATAATAAATTTTATAGTATAAAATTTGACATTGATAATTTCTATGTCATTTTTGTTTTAAAATATTTGAAAATTTTTCTAAATTTCAATTCCACCATAATAATTATAACATGTGGTGTAATTATTTATTGTTTCAAGTTACATCCTAGCTTGAATGACACGAATAATTAATCACGTTCATTTTATTAGTTTGAATCACAATTTAAGTTTTCACTACTGTATTTTCTTTCAAAAAAATTCAAATTCAACTTTTTGTGTTACTACATTTTCTCTCACATAAAGACAAAAACTCAATAGTAATTTTTTTAATAAAGAATTTCAGTAATAAATTTGAAATATAACAAACATTTTAGTATATTTTAAGAATAACAAAAATTAATATCATTAATCTATATAATAAATTTTATGGTACAAAATATGATATTGATAATTGCTATGTTGTTTTTGGTTTTTAAAATATTTGAATTTTTTTCTAAATTTCAATTCGACCATAATAATTATGGCATGTAGTGTAATTATTTCTTATTTCCAATTACGTCCTGCCTTGAATGACACGGACGACGAAATTTAGACATATAACGTAATTTTACTAGTCATGTTGAAGTACAGCACAGAATTTAAAATATTTTAGAATAGAAAAATTGATATTATAATAATTATTATGTAATTTTGTAGTACAAAATTTGAAATTTATTATAATAACTCTTACATGATTGTTTTATTCCAAAACTATTTTAAAAAGTAAAAATAAGATGGATAAATAATTAGACTTTAAAAATGGCATTCAATTAAGTTATACGAAATAGATCTACATGAAATGTCACGACGCCTTAAGTGTAAGATTTCTAAACTCATTTCTCTTATTATATATCAGGTTAAAAAAGACATGATTCTAATATAATCGCAGAAATAAAGAATCATGAGCTATAATTCTCTATTTTCGGGTTCTTTTTTACTCTTTACATGTCCCGCAAAATGATGGCTCTTTAGCATCACAAATAGATTTGTATTGAAAGGATTGAGCCACTTGTTTAAATTGATTGGGTTATGATACCATTTGTAAACTAGACTTTTTAAGAATTTAAACTTTCATCTTAAAGGTCAACTTATTAAGTGAATTGACTAAATATCTTTATAAGTCTGTGCTTGTTTTTATCTTTAAATGACGGGGCCTGGATTTATTTTTATCCTTTAAAATAGATTGTATATTATGTGTGAAGTCTAGTTAGTCATTAATCTTTAGGGAAAATACAGGATATAACATATTTCATAGGTGTTTTTAAAGCAAATAGCATAATTTATCGAGTTTGATAAATTATAACATATCATTAATTTTGAATAATTTATTTTCCAATTTACCATTAAAATTTCTTCCCAATCTTTTTTCTCTTCCCATACTCGCTCGCTCTCTCTCTTTTCTCTCACGACTTTTCCCCTTTCTCTATCCTTCTTCTTCCCTCCCGTCACCATGAAACCCTCTCTCTCTCCTCCGCTCTCTCTTCTTACCTTATGTATTTTATGCTTGGAGATTAGAAAAAAATTATGTGATATGAGAATTTATGGATACAAAATTGTTGCATATATAATTTTTTGTGATTTGTGAATATAGTATTTACTGGTAAATACGGCATTTACTAGTAATATAGTGTTAAACGGTTGCCAGGGTTGTTGGCTGACTTTTCAGATAAATATGATTTTTATTAGTAAATACGGTATTCACTGGTAAATACAATGTTAAACGGTCAGCCAAGTCGATGGCCGGATTTTCAGAGAAATATGATTTTTACTTGTAAATACGATATTTATTGGAAAATACAGTATTTATCAATAAATATATTATTAAATGTTCACAAGTTTTGGTGGCCAGAATTTTAGATGAATATGATATTTACCGATAAATGCAGTGTTAAATGGTCGCCGGAGTCGGTGGCCATAATTTCTGATAAATATGATATTTACTAGTAAACGGTATTTACTGGTAAATACAATGTTAAACGGTCGCCGTTCTCGAATAAATATTATTTTTACTGGTAAATACAATATTAAACGGTCGCCGAAAAACATTTGCCAAAAAACAGCCGCCGGAGTCAGCCACCAGTCCTCAGTGCTAGCCATAATCTATCTTTTATACAAAAATATTCTATAATCTACCTATTTTTTTTTTTTAAAATAATGTTATACTTTACTATTTTTTAAAAATACTGAAGTTTAAGGAGAAAGAGAGATGTGGAAAAAGAAGTTTAGAAGTATTTTTTAATTTTTATTAATGTTAGATACTTAAAATATTAAATCATGCTATAATTTACTATTTAAAAAAATAATCTACTAAATATAATATCAAATATGTTATTTCTCTCCTTCTCTAATCTTTATTGTAAAAGTTGGGCTTAAAATAAAATTGAGATTTTCTCTTCTCTTTTTTTTTTTTTTTTTTTTTTTTTTTTTTTTTTTTTTGACTACCGGCATGCTCTTTTTTTCTCCTCCATTGATTAAAATAAGCGGCTCTTAGCATTGTTTGTAATCTTTCTTTTTTTTTTTAAAGAAAATTCTCTTTTCTCAGTTGGAGTGGTGCGGGGAAATTCATTTACTTCCTTCAATTTCAAACAATGCTTTAATTTCTATTAGTGATGGTGTTGTGTCGCTAAGCATTTTTTTTTTTTTTCAATCCCAACAACGCCGTCTCTCTCCTTGATAGACTATGAACTTCCGAGTTGTACTGTCGGACGCCAATTACCGTCCAAATAGAAGTAAAACCTTATAAGGAGCGGATGTTAGTAGAGGAGGACGAGATCTTGGCTGTCTTAAAAAGAAAGCTCCTTTCTTTTTTTTTTTTCTTTTTTTTTTTTTTTTTGGTTTTCGTAAGGAATCTGAAGGAAGATAGTCATTAAGAAATGTCTAAAGAAGTTGCAAATTTAGCAGTCCATAATCTTTGCCAAATAACTATCTCATTTGGTATAATGGAGTTGTTTACGTTCTTTGAATTTTGAACTTTGATCTGAGCCTTTTTTCTGATGTGAAACTCACATGTGTCTGCAAGTGGAGGTTTTTTTTTTTGTTTTGTTTTTTTGTTTTGTTTTTTGTCTGTAAGTGAAGGAGAAGAAGAAATTCTTTTCATTTAAAAACTTTATGACCGTGTTTAGATTGATTTCGTTTTTTGAAAAAAAAATAAAAACGTTTCCAAAACGTCATTTGGCGTAATAAAAATAAAAAATGAAAATGAAAATTATTTTTTAATTTAGTGTAAATGAGAGAGAAATAAAAAATGATTTTTAGTCGTTTTTCATTTTTTATTTTCGTTTTCTCCTCTGTCGAGCATAAAGAGAGAAATATATATTAATGAGTTTTTTTATACTGAAAATAATTTCTAGATGAAATTACCAAACGCATTTTTAAAAATGATTACTGACTGAAACTAAAAACGTTTTTATTTTTATTTTTGTACAAAAAATAAAATTATTTTATAACAAATTTCAAACGCGTTCCACGTGTTTACAAGTGAAATCTGACATGGGTGAAGGGAAAGAAAAATTCGGACATGGTTTTTTTTATTATCATTATTAATTTTTGGTAATAATCATTTCTGGTGAATAAATTTGAAACTTGCAAGGAATAAATTTGAAACTTCATAGGTATGTATTTGTGTTGGGTTAAGATAAGAGAAAGGATGGTGATGGCTGTAGAGGAAAAAGTTGAATTTTTTGAAAAAAAAAATGGAAGAAGATGAAGTTGCAGAGAAAAACAAAAATGAGAAATTAATAGGAATTTGAAGGAAAGAAAAGCTGAGCTGTAAAAATAATTGGGTTTTGTCATATTACAGCGAATTGGATTTGGCCACGTGTGTTTGTTGTTGTTTTTATTTGGCACTATAATTTCTACTATGACGTGGGCTTGTGAACGATTAGAGAATGACTTAGTTTGGTATTACTTTTTCCTCTTAAAATAAGCTACTATTTGTAGCATAAGTTAATTTTAGTGTTTGGTAAATCTCCTTAAAAGTTATTTTTAAATAATTTTTCAAGAATTTACTGTAAAAATCAGAAGCAGCCTAAAGACAACTTTAGCTTTTAGATTGTGTGGGAATTAGCATAACATAATTAATGAAACTTTTATAATACCTATAATACCCCTAATGAAATTTAAAATTTACAATCTTCCTAATTTAAAATTCAAAGTCGTAATATAGTATAATATAATATAATAGTAATATTATAATAAATAATATCATAATTATATTAATAACTCTAATATTATTATTTTATCATATAACATGATATTATAATAATATTATAATTATTCTTATAATATGATATTATAATTATAATATAATTATAATATGATATTATAATTATTATTTTATAATAATATTATATATTATATTGTATTAATATAACTATGTTTATTATATTAATACTAATGTAATAATTAATATAATTAAATATTAATATAATCTTATAATTCTAATATTATTATTTATTATAGTGTATTACACAACATTATGGTTATATAATATATTAATTATAATATATTTGTTTAATATAATATAATAATGATAATATAATATAATATATTATATATTATTATATTCTATATCATAGTTATATAATATGTTATTTAATAATAGTTTTATTGTATTATATAAAATATAATAATAAATATACATTATATTGTAATTATATATATTATATTATAGTATAATATAATATAATCGTTATTTTTAATTATTTCAGTTATTATTTTATTAATATTATTATATTATATATCAGATAATAATAGTTTTTTTGTATTATATTGTAATTATATACATTATATTATAGTATAATATAAACCATTATTTCTTTTTTCGATGCGAATTTGACACAAGATGGGAACCTACTCTTTATAATTAATTATTTTATACTAATATAGTCGTAATTTTTAACTATTCATAGCAATTCAACCTCATAATTTACCAAACGCTATTACATTGATTTTAGAACTAGCACAACTACTATAATTATAGTTTATCAAACACTCAGCTGCTTTTTGTAACAGCTGCTTCTTCCTTCAGCACAGCTAAAAGTAATTTTTTTAAAATCTACAGTACTACCAAACTAAGCCAATATACCCTCAGTATGAGAGTCAATCTATGCATAGTCAAACGTTTTTTTTCCTTGAACTAGATAGTCCAAAACAAGAGGCATACTAAAGAAAATCTCAATAAATTAAATAAAAAAACAGTTTAAATTTCTCTCTAGAATCTAATAATAGTATGCCTCTAAATTGTCATTAAGTATCAATAGCTTCCAAAAAAATAAAAAAGAAATAAAAGAAAAACATGTGAACAATGGAAAAATGCAATTCCAATTATTAATAGGTAAATATTCACTTGAAAGTTGAGTCAAATTCAAATTTTTTGTTGTCTTTCTCATTACACTTAGGGATCGAATTGTGCGGATTATGAGTCAACCCGCAATCTAATAAATTAAAAAATCTTAATCCGTTACTAATTTGTTAGACTCTCAAACTAATCTAATCTACAATAAATTTCACGAATTGAATTATGCGGACTCACGGATTAGCGTACATTTTAGACCTTAACTTTTGTATTCCATCTCTTTTTCAATATTCTCATAAATTAATAACAAAATTAAACACAAACATAACATAGCATAAAATTAAAATAATATTGAAAGTTCATACATAATCACATATACACTTAATTATATATATGATTATATAATTGAAAAAAAAAATCGGTTACATATGTTATTTAAACATATATAGAAAAATATATATATTATATATAGTTCGGATTGACAGATTATACGGAGTGAGAAATACTCAATCCGCAATCTAATCTATTATTTTAGATTAGGAAAATCTCAATCTGTTATCAATATAAAATTCTTTTAATCCAATCCAATCCGTAGTAACGTATTGGATTATGCAGATTGATCAGATTAGCGGATTTAATGAACACCCCTAATTTCACTTTTTTTTATACTTTTTGCTAGATCATTTCCCTTTCCTAACATTGAGAAGAAGTGAAAACACCCTAAATATACCAATTATTATGTACCGAGCGGATTCGACTGTTTGGTCTCTTTCAACAAACTTGGATTATGCTCGATTTTTATGTGTTGATCAGAATTTTCCCTTTTAGATATCGATATTATTATTCGTCCTTATACTATTATTATTTTGATAAATAGATCCAGTTATTCAGATTAAATTTCATTGTATTCAGAGTTATTTGCGATTTTATGTCAAGTACGTATTTCATTCATTTTAGTGATGAAATTTCCTTTTATCAAAAAATATATATAATTATTGTTCAATTGCACAAGGGTAATTTGGGTACTGACTCCCTTTACACCCAAATAAGGAAAATTTGATCCACTACCAGCCGCAATCTGATGTATGACTGAAGGTGAAGAGGTTATGGACCAACATTTCCCCAACTAGCATAAATCCGTTTACCTCTTAGCATATTCGTTGATCATTATCATACGACTTTGGACGCAAATCAATGGCATTGCAGTAATTTCAACAAAAACAACGACTCATTGCTCCAACAGTCTTATCCCCTTATAAAGAAAGATTTGGCGAGCAACTTCTCTCTCTCTGTTTCGAGCCTTTTCCAAAATCTCTCTCTCTCTCTTCCTCTTCTCTCTGTTTCTCTCTCCTCCGAAATGCTGACGAGAACTCCGCAATCCTAGTCCCCCCATCTTTATGGACTCCGTACTAACAAAACCCACCACATTCACTTCCTTAAGACGCCATTTTTCCGTCTTCAACTCCACCCAAACAAACAAAAGAAGAGCCTCTTCTTCAATCTCACTCTCCCACGCAAAAACTCCCTCAAATCCCGACGACCCAACACTAAAATCCTCTTTTCCCGAACACCCATTGAAGCGAACCATCCAAAGCTTCATCAAAGGCCCAGCTTTCCCAGACGCCAATGGCGTCAGGTGTCTGCGGAGCGACGGGCTAGGAATGGCGCTGCTGAGCGTGACGGCGACGGCGCGGGTGAAGATCAGTCCCTTCGTCGCGCAGCTGGCGGCGAACCCGACGTTCGTCTCGGGGCTGCTCGCATGGCTGGCGGCGCAGTCGATTAAGGTGGTGTTGAACTTCTTTGTGGAGAGGAAGTGGGACTTGAGATTGTTGTTTGCCTCCGGCGGAATGCCCTCGTCGCACTCGGCTCTCTGCACGGCCTTGTCGACGTCGGTCGCGCTCTGCCACGGCGTCGCCGATTCGTTGTTCCCGGTTTGCTTGGGGTTTAGCCTTATTGTTATGTATGATGCTATTGGGGTTCGTCGGCATGCTGGTATGCAAGCTGAGGTAAGGAAATTTTACTATAATTCAAACCATTTTGCAGCGGGGTTTTCTATCAAAAAAATTTGAATTTAGAAGTTTCTTTTATTGGGGTGTAGTACTTATACTTGTTGCGTTAGTTATTGTGTTTTTTTTTTTTTCTTTTTTGGAAACTTACTTCTGTTGATGATGAAATGAATGACAAAGGAAAGAGGATAGGGATCCTCAAAAGGCAAAATAAAATAAAATTTTGGGATGCGAAAATCTTGGCCCCAATTTTTGGTATGGTTTAGGATTAAATGATGGATTGCAACTTTTGTTAAGGCAAGAGATACATTACATGTTTGGGACTTTGAGATGTTTGTATGAGTGCATTGGCTGGCTGTGAGTAATAGGAGTTTATGTTAGAGTGGAGACTGGATCATGTGTTCTGAAGGTTCAAATTTAAGCCTAGAAGTTGGTCATATGAATCTGTGAAATGAGTTATATTAGGCTTTAATGTGGGTGTTAAATGGATGGAAGCTGATATGCTTTAATTTTCAGTGATCTCAATTCTCTTATGGTTATATAGGACTATGAGTTTCAAAAGGTTAAAGCTGCCAAGGTTAAACTTTTCACTTTCGTAGTACCTACGGATTGGATCATCTTTTTTTCTACATTTAAAAGTGGCAAAACGCATGTTTTCTTATGTCTGCTTCATGATAATTGAAATATAGTTTGGAGTTAAACTTGCATGTTTCAATCATTGATCAAATGAGGATTTAGTGTATTTTGTACAATCAGCCAGTTGGCTATTTTTGTTGGAGTCTTGGATTATGTTGAAACTATGAAGGTACTCTTATACTTCTTTTGACCTCCCCTTTTAGAGTTGTTAAAAGAGTGATCTGGTTTTTACGTGTCACGTCGTATGTCTTGCCAGGACAAGTGACATATTTTTCTCAATTGTTTGTGTACTGAAAATTAGAGAGGAGAATATATAATTAATTAAATGAAATTCACAGATTAATCTTTAACCAAAACATGTTAATTCTTCAAACTATCTTTATGTTGGTCTCGGTAGTTTAATAGAAAGCTAGTCACTTTACAAACTTTATGCTTATTTCGTGTGCGCTACAATTCGGCATGCATTTGAGTTTAGAACTTGTCATAAGCTTCAATCTCTCCCGCTCTTTTGTTAGAATAATTTTTTATTTAACTTTTGTGAATCATTAATCTTTATGTGAATGCGTAATTACTTAACAGGTTCTTAACATGATCGTTGAGGACTTGTTTCAAGGGCATCCCATCAGCCAAAGGAAGCTGAAAGAACTCCTCGGCCATACGCCATCCCAAGTCCTAGCCGGAGCTCTCCTCGGGCTTGTGGTTGCTTGTGTCTGTTGTCAGGGTTTCTTAGTTGCAACCTAAACTACGTTTCGCAGGCAATTTTGGTCAAATTCGTCGATGATGACTTACACCAGTTGCTATAGTTACATGGCGTGTGGTGTTATTATGTTTCTATTATTCCTTCAATTGTACAAGAGAAATTGAGCTATTGAAAAATGAATATTAGAATTGCTTTCTTCTGGGAAACTACTCGTCTGATTCATAGATGGAACTTAGGCACATGTTGGAGAACCCTGTGACAAGGTTCTGACATTAAGATATTGTTTGTACTCATTGTCTGCAAAATTCCATTTGTTCTCCACAGAATGAGAGTCATCTATAGAGGATTCCAGAAGTTGTAGTTGAACGGTCCACTACCCGACTTTGGTTGTAGTTGTCGCCAAACACTTATTAAATAATCGACTTTCATCCGCTCGTGTCAACTCTGTATCAGAACAATAACCAAATAGCTCCTTCTTCTTTTTCCTTTTCATCCGAAATCCCACTTAATTGTTGTTTTATCGTGAAACAGAAAAGATTTTATATCATGTGATAATACTCTGAATCTTATCATTTTTAATGAAAATTTCTGCTTGCAAGGCAGCATGCTAGTTTTGTGTCAACGAAACATTACTGTGTAGAGTGTATGTAGCTTAATTATTGTTCTGATACAGAGTTAACAACAGCGTGTGATTTTTTCTTCTTTTTATCTTCTTTTTCATTCATATTGAAATTTTACGGTGACAAAGTGTACGTAGCTCTCGTAATAAAAGCGAAGGAGATGGTTTATCGGATGATGTTTGTGGAAATGATTGTAGACAGGTCTCAATCCAATCACTCTGCTGTTCATAGGAACATGCATTTTACAGATTTTGTCCTTGTTTTCACACTTCATTGTATGCTATACAGACATTCAATGAAGCAGAAACAAAATGAGATGGCAGGATTGATGAAGATCAGTGAAGGAATATGTAGCAAAAAGTCTTTTACTGAAAAACATGACTTGCAAAGCCACATATGAGCATCAGCAGTTGCATTTTTTATTAGGTATATGACATTGTTTATATGTTTCTTCAGGGACTTGTCTCTATCATTTCCTAGCTTTGTGATGAAATCTAAGGCAGAAGAATCCAAACTTTAGGCTGAGCAAATGCATGGTGGCACATCCGTCTCTGTATATGTTGAGATGACAAAGAAAATCTCGTCGTTTATTCCTTCATATTTTGCTTTGGCTTGACAAAAAAAAACCAAAATGAAGTGAGAGTGTTGTATGTATAAATGCATTTCAAAATAGAAGTGAAGGAAAGCCAGAGGGATTATATGTTATTTAACACTTTGTTGGATGGTAACGCATGAAAGAAAACGTGGGAAGAGTAGGGATGGCAATGCGGCAAGACACCGTCAGAGACAGTGGCAAAAATCGGAACCATCCTTTGATTTTAGTGAGGGTGTTAGTACATTATTATTTTTTTTTAAAAAGTAAAAAATATGAAAAAATATACAAAAAAATTGTAGTATAGTACTTTTTAAGAATTGCCAAATACATAGAGTTTTACAATCGAAAACAAAAAGTGCCATAGGGCTTTGTCTTAAAACACTAAATTTGTATATATATATATATATATATATATATATATATGATTGTTTATTTTGCATACATTTTACTTTCAACAAGGATACCCTACAATAGATTTATTTTTTTCTTTTCATTTTTATACCTTTGCATTTTGAGGTTATAAAAAATATGCCTTAAGCTATAGAGTTTATCTTATTTTTATCTTTAGATTTTGAACTTATGCTCAATTCTTACCTTTCATCAGTCACTGGTGAATTTTGACTAAATATCGACCTAAACACAAAACAATTAAAGTTACTGTTAGAGTGATTTTTTGATCTAGCCCCAAATCAACTACAAAAGATTTAATTTTCAAAGCCAAATACTCTCACAGATTCTGAATTCTAAAATAAATTACAATTAGCTTTGGATATGTTCTCTCAAGAGTCAAATTTAATAGAATTTGAGTATCTAGAAACGGAAAATGTCCCGGCTTTTACCGTCATTCCTTCGATTTTAGGCCTAGGTTCTAACGGGAATACCTCTTAAATCAAGATGAGCCGTTGGATCTTCATCAATTATTTTGGATTGTTCGATCGAGCTATTTTATTAATTTTGATATGACTCATCATATGACTCCGTCAATTCACTTATTAACTCTGCTCTTACGCTTATTTTCATAACTTTCTTTTTGGTCTTCTGCTGTTTCGTTATGTTTTCTTTTATTAATACGATATCATTTTGTTCTTTTTATGTATCCCAATTAAATGTTGTCATTTACTTCTGATCAAAATGTCATTGTTTCAGTTCATGTATTTCTCATGCCCACAATTTAAAAAAGATAAATGAAAGTAAAAGACTATTGTATTGTGATTTAGTAATTTTTCATTTGATTCACGGCCCTTGAAAAAACTCCTGACGCGAAAGGGTATTTAATATATCTTTCTATCTTCATAGTAAATTGATTTTAGTGTCCGTTTGATTCACGCGTTTAAATCAGTTATTTTAATTTATTAGTGAGAAATTATGAGATAATAAAATTTTGAATTCAAATTCTTTATGATATGAAAAATATTGTAACAGAATTATAATTATAAGTTCAAATATAGGACCAAATAAGACCTAATGGGTGTGTTTAAAATTAGTTTTAAATTATTTTTTAAAACTTTTCTGCACGTATTTTAAAACAGGAAAATGAAAATGGTTTGCAAATTATATTTTTTTAGCAAATATTTTGAAAACGAAAACGAAAATTAAAAATAGTAAAAATAATTTTTGTGAATAAATTAAAAAACAATTAAAAGTTAGTATACCTTTTTGTTTTTAATTTTTAATATTCATCAATAATATTATAATATATTAATTAATAATTACAACTATTTCACTTTATTATTATACTATAAATAATCTCTTAAAAAAATAACTAAATATAATTTTAAAATTAATCACAGAATAATTCTCAAAATAATTTTATTTTTATTTTTATAATAAAAATAAAATTATTTTAAAAACGTTATCAAACGTGTCAAATAAATCTGCCGTCCTAAGTTTCTGTTTTTTTAATAAATAATTTGAGTTCATCTGAGCCATAAATATCTACGTGTTTTTAATAATCAATAAAAATAGAGTACTTTCTTTTTCATGAAAAGTATGTACCGTAGGAATAGAATATAAATTTTTTTAATAATAAGAAATAGACTAGAATACTAATACTCCCTTTGTTCACGTCAAATATGCAACATAGTGGACTACTGAGCTGTGCCTCCGACCGTATCAAAAAAAAAAAAGCTTTAAAATATTGTCGTACTGAATTAAAATCACACATGGCAAATTGTGGTTGGACGAGAGACGCAATCGTGAGTCATGACTATTTAATTCGGTTTATTAAACTTACTTGGAGAACAAACAATTGGTCAGCCGCTCATAGCATTAGCATATTAGCAAACATAATTAAAAATTATTAAACTAATCACAAATAAACAAGTGAGAGGTTTCAATGGTAGGCCCTACAAAATAAATTATAAAAAAGAAAATTACACATTCTACTCTCTAAAGTATCTATTTTAAAAAATTATATTCTTAACTAATTCTAATCTAAAAAATAAAAATATATAAACTAATATTAAGATGTATAAATAAATAGTCTTCATTTTTAAAAGTATTTTTTAAAATTTCCCAAGTTAAAAAGTTCTCATTTTTACTCGCTAGAATGTATAAAAAAACATGTTCTTTACACTTTTTAATTTGATGTGATCTTTAATTAAGTAATTAATCTCTCTACTAAAAAAAATCTTAATAAATAAAATTTTCGTTATAATAAGGGTTAATTCTATAAATAGTCCATGCGGTTTATCTTAAATCTCATTTTAGTCTCTGACTTTTTAAACGTCACACATTTAGTCTTTAAAATTTTATTTTATTTCAATTTCAGTTCTTTCATTAATTAGGTGTTAAAATTTAATTGAATCTATGTAAATTAATGATCAAAATTAGAAATAGTTGATTTTGATTCTATTTATGAAAATTAAATTTTATTTTTTGAATTTTTTTTTTCCTTAAATTATATATATATATTAATTTTAGTCCATAATTTTTACATATCCTCTCAAATATTTAACACTAGACTAAAATGACTGAAAATGAAACAAAATAAAATCTCAGAGACTAACTGTATGACGTTTTAAAAGTCAGAAATAATATCGATAGTAAATTTTAGGGGATGCTTGTTTTATGTATCCGTCACTAGTTCTGAATCCTGGTTCATGATTCTTTATAGTGTTTTTCTCTCATAAAAAATTTAAATTTTAAAAATCAGAATCATTCATGATTCTAAATCTATAAACCAAATGTTTCCTTAGAGACTATTTGTGAGATTAACATGAAGAGAGAGTGAAAGTAGGGTATGTTTAGTTCTCTTGTTCGAGTTGAGATGTGACTTTGGCCTCGTTCGTTTTGCGAATTTGAGCTGAGATGTGATATTTTTTTAGAGCTTTTAACCGTAGCAAAAAAAGTTAGATGTGACATTTTTTGAGAACTTTTAACTGTAAAAATTTAAAATTAAAAACTTAAATCAATAAAATAAATGAGATCTTTATATAAAATTTTTTTATTATAATAAAAAATTAAATATAATTATTTTTAAAAAAATTTAACTAAAATAAAATTTAAATTTTAAACTCAAGTGAAATGAACAAAACCGTAATGTGTTTGTGATTGGTCAAAAGTCGTAAAGCTCGAACGCGTTAACAAATTGTCTATGGTGGCTACACGCGTCACTTTCAGTCATCGACATCTTCTTCCCTTTAAGACTTTCTCTCTCTGATTTTTATTTTTTGCTCTCTATTCATCCCGAATTTAACACAAAAAAAAAAAGAAAAAAAAAAAGAGCAACACAGAGAAGAAGAGGAAAAAAAAACGCGAAATCTCTGTGTTGTTGCTAATAATCTCAAGCTCAGCTTCCTCTCTCAATTTTCTCCTCTGGTTCTTCCTTATGGGTAAGAATCGTCTCTGTTCGTGAATTGTGATCGAGTTTTTTTTTTTTTTTTTTTTTTTTTGTGTTCGATTTCAAAAAAAAAAATGTGGAGGTAGAGTTTCGATTTCGAGTCTTATTGTTCATTTTCTTTATCATATTTTTTTTGGTCTTTTTCCCCAAAAATTTGGTGTATTGGCTTTGTTTCCTGGATATGAATCTCTAGGGTTTGAGTTTGTTTCTGTGTATAGTTTTTAATTGTGTGTGTGTGTGTGTTTAGATTGTGGCTTTTGGCTGTATTGATTGTCTGAATCCCCTTTGTTTCTTTCTTCTTTCTTTTTTTTTGATCATCTGGTCATTTTCCAATCCAAATATGACTTCGTTATCGTATAATTTGGAAAGATTGAGTTTTGGGAGTTGTAAATTGATTTCAAAGCTGTGAGATTTCTGTAATTTTGCAAAAATGTCGTCCGCTGGTATTGTTGCCCTTGTTCCAATCTGCAATGATTCTGTAATTTCCCCCAATTTCAATGCCCTTTCGGGTTTGTTGTTGGACGAATCCATTTTAATATATCTTTCTATTGGGGGATCTGTGATTCCTATGAGCGTTTTGGAGTCCGATTCTATTGAGTCAGTGAAGCTTAGGATCCAAACTTGTAAAGGGTTTGTGGTGAAGAACCAGAAGTTGGTTTGTGGAGGCCGGGAACTGGCTCGGAGTAATTCGCTGCTCCGCGACTATGGGGTCGCGGAGGGGAATGTTTTGCATTTGGTTTTAAGGCTCTCGGATCTTCAGGTAATCAAGGTCCGAACTTCTTGTGGGAAAGAGTTTACTTTCCATGTGGAACGTGGTAGGGATGTTAGGTATGTGAAGCGAAAGATTGCGAAGAAGAGGAAGGAGTTTGTGGATCTTGAGGAGCAAGAAGTTGTGTGTAATGGAGAGAAACTAGAGGATCAGAGACTTATCGACGATATCTGTAAGTACAGTGATGCAGTTGTGCATTTGTTGGTTAGAAAATCTGCAAAAGTTCGTGCTAGACCTGTTGACAATAATTTTGAGTTGTCTATTGTGGCATCTGATAAGGGGAGCTATGGAGATGATGGAGAAAGTGATAAGATGCAAAATGGTGTCAGTGAAGTTGACGGGAAGGTTGTGCTGCAAAAGCCTTCTGAAAGAGGACCTTTGGAGCCTGTTATTGTTAACCCCGAAATCAAGTTGCCTTTGGCGATACAAGAAATGGTTGATGCCACACTCGAGGGACTTAGTGGAGGAAACGATCCTGTCAGGTCTTTGGAGGGTATAGGAGGAGCGTATTTTATGCTGGATTCATCGGGGAAAAAGTATATTTCTGTTTTTAAGCCAATGGATGAAGAGCCCATGGCCGTGAACAATCCAAGAGGGCTTCCAGTGTCATTGGATGGGGAAGGGTTGAAGAAGGGAACAAGAGTCGGAGAAGGAGCATTAAGGGAAGTTGCAGCCTACCTTCTGGATCATCCAAAGAGTGGCCGTCGTGCGTTCATTGGTGATGAGGAGGGGTTTGCTGGTGTCCCACCCACGTTTTTGGTCAAGTGCCTTCACAAAGGATTCAACCATCCCGGTGATTTAACTGCCAAGCTTGGCTCTTTGCAGAAGTTCATGGAGAACAATGGAAGTTGTGAGGATATGGGCCCCGGGGCTTTCCCGGTTAAGGAAGTCCATAAAATCTCTGTGCTGGATATAAGATTGGCCAATGCTGATAGGCATGCTGGGAATATATTGCTGAGCAAAGGAAAAGATGAGCAGACTGTGCTGATTCCAATTGATCATGGCTACTGCTGGCCCGAAAGCGTAAGTACCTCTTTTAATGCTTTGTTGAATAGGCTGCAATTTAGCTCATGTAATGATATTTCCAGTGTTTTCTTTGTTCAATTCACTGTTAAATTACTCGGTCTTTTTATTGCTCAAACTTTTCTTTGGCTAAATTAGAGTTTTCATGAACTAACCATCTTAACAATAAAACCCATTGTTTCACATCCTTCTCCATGTTGAGTGATTTTCAAATTTGGTTGTTAATTGAATATTTTGCAAATTCAAACCCCGAATTTTTTATTGCATTGTGTTGCTCTTGTGATTATTGCCATGTTGGGGATTCTTCCCAGCAGATTTAACCTTTGTGTACTCCTTGTACCTGCAGTTTGAAGAATGCACATTTGACTGGCTCTATTGGCCACAAGCTCGTGAACCCTACTCCGACGAGATTGTTGATTATGTAAAATTGCTTGATGCTGAAGAGGATATCGCACTTCTGAAGTTCCACGGATGGGAGTTGCCGCTTGAGTTTGCCCGCACGCTTCGCATCTCAACCATGCTTTTGAAGAAGGGAGTTGAGAAAGGTCTAACTCCCTTCGAAATCGGAAGCATAATGTGTAGAGAAACCTTGAAGAAGGAATCCATCATGGAGGAGATTGTCCAGGAAGCACAGGATTCTGTGCTCCCTGGAACAAGTGAAGTCGCATTCCTCGAGACTGTGTCCCAAATCATGGATCGTCGGATTCATGAAGTTGCTAAATCACGTTCTTGATGGCAGTGCTCACTAATTACTCTTTGAATTGTTAATTTACGCAAGTTTATAATGTACATTTCATTAGTGTACATCTGTGTCTGGCGACTGACTTTTTAGGATCCTTTGTCCATACTACCTGGAAAAGCATTTTAATTTTCTTCGGTTTTCTTTTTTTCATTTGCTATCATGCTATTATTATAATGTCTTTGATTGACCTCATCAACTGTAGGTATTGATTCATTTCCCAGGGTACATCTGAAAACATTTGTTTATATTTGCAGCGGATGATATATATGTTTTTCGTTGGATCATTATGTTGGATGAGGATTTCGCCACACTATAATATATTTTCTATTAACATGTGTTAGTAGTGATCTAACAACAAGAGTTGCAGGGAAGAAAATTGTCTCGTTTATGTGTTACCAAGCGCCGGTGCTCTTATGTTGAAGATTATTATTATTATCAAGTCTTCTTAAATGTCTGATTGAAGATTATTCAAGTATTAAGATGCTGTGAAAATTTAGGCCTCATTTAGTTTACGAATTCAAGTTGGAATGTGATTTTATATAAGAGTTTTTCACTTTAGTAGAAAAATTAAATGTAACTTTTAATTAGAGTTTTTAACTGTAGTAAAATTAAAATTGAAAATTCGAATTGGTGAAATAAATGAGGTCCTAATAGTTCAAAAAAGACTAGTATATTTGTTTTACTTTTCTATCTACTTTTCCAATTCATACCAATATATATATATATATATATAGACACGCACACTCTACTAGTTTGCATGAGAAAATATATCTTAATTACCAATAGACTTGTAGTAGCCCATGTCCGACAATGGTTATAGTGTGTGAAAATTAACCAAAGTTTTTTTTCTAATATTTCAATAAATTAGTAAATACATCATGTACGAGGGCTCATTTGACAAATACATTTAAACTCATAATTTTAATTATGCTATAATATTTTCTTGTCATAAAGAATTTAAATTTAAAAATTTCTCACAATAGTTTTATCACAAAGTTTCCGTTAATAAATCAAAAATAAAGTTCTCGTTAATAAATCAGAATCACAACGAACCAAACGAGTCCATAACTCATCAGATAATATACATACAAAATTCATATACTTGAAGACAAGGAAGATTTAGCTCCCATCGACTGCACAGACACAGTGGATCTCAAGGACACAGCTCAATCAGTCGGCCAATTGCCTGATAGACCAAGGGCAGGACTAGCAGCCTCTTAATTAGATAACCCACAAGCAGAGCATTACTTGACTCTCGAACAAACCAGAGTTGGGAGCTGACCCATGAGCGTGTGAAGAAGCAATCTTCTTCACACAAAAAAGCAAAATTGAGCAATCCAAACAGGTTGGTCAGAGTTCAGAAGTCCACAATGTTTTATCTTTGCGAGAATCCTCCAATCGGTCGTAGCAACTGCAAGCAACAAAAAGCCCTCTAGCCAAGGATTTTTCTTACGTGGCCAACGGCTTTTGTTGTTACCTCTTTAACTTGTTACTTGTCCAAGCGCATGTATCAGCTTCATTTCTTTCTACGCTTCTTCAGCATTTTCTTTGATGTTTTTCTGTAAAGGGAAAACCATGAGTTAATCTTTGTCTCCTCTAAGATCGACTCTTTGATGATAACAGTAAATAAGAAATTACCTCTTAGTTCGGGTTGGTCTGCTTTTGAAACCGAAAACACCCTTCGTCAATGAACTTATATCCACAGAGCGGTCTCGCATAATCACATCATGGTACATTTTGCTCCCAATCTCTGTGATCTGTTCCTCCACTTCATCCAATGTTTGGTCCACATTAAGCTGAAGCTCTCCTTTCCTGATGACGGTGACGCTAAAACCGTTCTCTTTCGCTTCCCGAAAAGCATCCTGTCGAAGATTAAGAGAGAGTTATAAATGAGGGATACCATAAACTTGTGAAATATATGGGGAAACAAATTTAGGCTCTTGCCTTAGGCGGTCGGGCAACAACAAAGGCATGGCCATTCCCGAGCATTTCAATTTGAGCTTGGATAATATAACAAAGATTTTTGCAGTCATTGGCATCCTCGAAAGAAATCACGTGCTGTGGTTTCGGTTCCAATTCAAGGTCTGTAGCCATCTCCAATGAATAGAATCCTATTCTTTGCTCCCCGTCTTCAACCGTGTACAACTCAATGCACTGAAAAATAAAGACAGAGAAGACGACAAGTGATCAAGTAATAGCTAGTTGATTTGTGAGAAAAATTTCTTTAACTGACCTTGAAATCACCGTCATAACCACAAATGTTATATGAACACGAAATCTTAAATAAAGGAATCACAGCTTTGAAAATTTTGCCAATATCAACACTTTGTCAGGAAACTAAGAGGTATATCACTGTTAGCTTATTTGTTTCCATTTCTATGCTAAGAAAACACCTCTTGCTTACATACCAGTATACATGGAAGATCTAACCACCACAGGTAATCTTCTTCCTTCTCGTCAGCATATTCACGATATTTGCTCATCACTGCTTGCGGTCCAAATAGTTCCATCTCTCTTTTAAGCTTTTTGAGTTTCTTTTGCATGAATTCTTTATTCCTCTCCGGTAGTTTATCCATCAAATCAGCGGCTTCCTGAATTTCTTTCTCAGTGATCCACCGATCCAGATCCTTTCCCATGTCTTTCATAATGAATTTAACTTCTGGGTCTGTCTCTCCATTATAGGATTCCAGAAAACCTCGCGACCACTTTTTGGTGTGTTGCCAAACCTCCTTCCCTGATTTTTTTCCAGCTTTTACAGAACCATCACTGCCTTCTATGATTGTCTTGGAACTTTGTTGACCCCTCTGAAGTTTCTTCTTTGGATCATTAACTGCCGGAGATCTGGCATAATTTTTATCTAATGGGGATTCCGCTGATTTCTGAAGGAAGTCCTGCTCACCCTTCTTCACATTATTTAAAATCTCAGTGTTTTCAGCAAAAATTGCCTTTCTCTGTTCTAGGAAGTTATTTAAGAACTCTGGAATTTTTTCCAGAGGGGGCCCTTTCCAGCGTGGTATTATTTTTTCCGGTGGATCATACAAACTGATACCATCTAGGGAAGAAAAAGACAAAAGAATTGTAAGGATGTATACTTTTGAAAATATATAGACATTCATGTGCTATTCAAGCGGGAAAGACTTAAGGAATAACATAAACTACCAGTTACCTGCTCCGTAGTCTAGATTTTCTATATTTGAGTGGAGCCATTCATGCAGTGTTGACAGCTTTTCGTTCTCTCTATCAACTTTCTTTTCAAGACCCTTGAAAAATGAATGTTTGTCTTCGGCATCCATCATATAAAACGGATCCCACCCAGCCAACTCATTTTCTCGAACTCGAAAAACAATCTCAGCAAGCTTATCGTCTTCCATCCATTCAAGTTCATTGACATCTCCAATGGACTCCAGTTGCGTCATGGAGGAATTCGTATTTGATTGTTGGTTCTTCTTTTCTCTTGCAACCATGTAATTGTCTCTAAAGCCAACTCCAATTTCCTTCACAATATGTTCATTGTAATTGCTCTCGTTCCAGGTTTCCTCTTCTAAGGATGGCCCTACCTCTGAATTTACGCCATTACCTTCATGATCCAATGATCCTTGCTGCTCTGGAACATCATCCTCTCCTTGCTTACAAACATCAGTGTTCCCATTCTTGATTCCAACGAATTCCTTATTTTCCACAGCAGAATCTTTGGAAGCATCTGTTAAAGGTGAAGAATCTAATGTCCCATCTGAAATGGCAGATGTGACCACTTTTTCTTCCATCCCCAACTCCTGATTCGCATCCCTATCATATTGTTTATCAATTTGTAGATTTAAAAGGGTTTTACTTTCGGAAACAGCTTTAAACTGGGGTTCTTCTTCCCCTTCTTGCTTGTAACGCTTTTTAGAAAGATACTTCCTAGCTTCTTTCACTGATCTTATGATCCGTGGTTTTGCTTGGGCGGAACTTCCTCTAGAATCACTTGGTTCCTCAGAAGTACCATCATCTGCTAAATGTTCAACACCCTCATTCTCTTTTAGATCCTTTCTAGTGCTTTGCCTAAGATCTGAACTTTCTACACGTGAAGATGAACGCCCATTCCCACCAAAAACTTCATCAAGTAGAAATGCATTACGATCAATGCTACTTTGTTGAGTATCTCCATTTAGAGGGTTAGTCAAACGCCTTGTTTCCTCTTCTTTATAGTCATTACCCTTCTCGGTTCCCTTGTAACCTTCCTCACTCATAACCTCATTTTCGACGCCATTCATTTTAACAAAGTCATTTTTCACATCTTCACTTTCCCGGGCTTCCCTGGCCATTTTTCTGATTTCCTGAATTTTGACATCAAACTCCACAGATTTAGCATCAGGGGCAATTGAAGAACCAAGTAAAGCCACATTCCCATCCAGCGATTTTGCTCTCGCGATATTCCTCATAAGTTCTTCCTTATCTATCCTCGGCTTTTCTCCGGACAACATGGGCAATTCCAAAGGTTTCTGAACAACTTCCACACTACCTTTGTCCAACATCTCTTCCACCTTTCTCGATTTTATCTCCCTCCTCATTTCCTTTACTGACTCTATCTCCTCTTTACCCCGGAAACCAAACAACTTTTTCAATGCCCACACCGCAATGAAACCGTAAAACAACATCATCCCAACTCTAGGGAGCTCATTTACCATCTTAGGACTATGGGCAAAACTCTGAATTGCCTTAAAAAAACTAGACTCCTCACCTTGAACAACAACAAACTTAGCCACCGAACTATTCCTTGGAATAACATCTTTTTTCCCACTCTCCATCTCTCTAGCTAAAGTTTTAGCGTGCAAAGCTTTCAAATTCACCTCTTTTGAGCTTTCTTTCTCCACTCCACTTCTCCTCAATACTTCATTTTCATCAACAGAAACCCTTTTGACATTACTATCAGAGTCCAGAAAAACTATGAAAATTGGTTTTGACCCAATTCCCCAATACTCGGTATCTTTCTTATACTGCAGAGCCCAATTCTCCAATTTGTTAAACAAAACAGATTCACCAAAAGATTTCGACTTTGGTTCTTTATCACTAGAATCATACCCTTTTTCCACACTTTCATGATTAATTCTCTCTACGAATCTCTCCGTATCGCCAAAATTAGGGTTTGGGTTTTGAATATCAGAACCCGCGGGGTTTAGAGGAGAGGCAATTCGACGCACCTGTTGTTGGTCTTCAATGAGCTTCTTTCTCAGCGAGTTTCGGCGGTTCGTTGTTCTGCCGAACTGGGAGAAAACTAGAAATTTTCTTCTGGTATTGGATAAGGGAAAGTGGATTGGAAAAGACGGATTCTTGTAGAATATGAAGCTGGGTGTGGTGAATTTGATATGGATTCTCTTTGTTGAAGCTTTGGTTGGGAATTCGAAAGTGAAAGGCGAAGTTGACAGGCGAATTGTGAGGTTGGTTGGTGCTGAAGATTTGAAAACCTCCATGGATGGAAGCACGGAGAAAGTGACAGGTAGCTGGAGATTTTGCAGAGATTTTATGCCGGAGAAGGTCGCTTTTTTTTTTTTGTTCTCGTCCCGTTGTTTCAATTGTTCCAGTCGTTTTCATGTGTTTCTGTCGTTTTACAGTGAAGCTTTACGTTGTTTGTCGTTTTAATGTTATTAGGAAACTAATGATTTTTTTTTAAGGATAAATTAGGAAATTGACACTCCACTGCTTCGTAATTTTTGAATTCATTATAAAACATTGCGGACATTAGATGATTAAGTAATGTCCATATAGGTTTTATTTTTCTTGTTAATAAATACTCTTTTATTTCGTACTTAATCAAAAATGGTTCGGTAAGAAAAATATCGGCTGTACCGACGACTTTTTGTCAGTGAAGGATTCCACCACAACCTCTTCAAAAGATTCATCGTGAAGGATCTTCTAATTGTTGAAATTGAATTCTTATTAGTCATGTCCAATACAACTTTCTTCTAATGGCCCAAATTGTAAAGAAGACTCGTCGAAGTTGTCGTTTTATATTTTTCCTTTATCGTCATTTTAAAATATAGCGGGCCGGTTTGTTTCTATTTTTGTTTTCATTTTTCACATTTTTTGAGAAGAAAAAATGAAAACGGAGGATAAAAACGTGTTTGGGAGTAATCCGTACCAAAATCAAAAACAAAAACGTTTTTGGATTTTTTCCAAAAACTCATTTTTTCTGAAAACGATTGAGATTCGTTTTCATTTTCTCGTTTTCATTTTCTTCGTTGTCAATCTCTTCTTCCTCGGTTATGGGTCGTCGGCGGCAGCGGCGGAGGAGCGGAGGAGGGAGAGGGCGAAGTCGGTGAGGGAGGATGGGTCGTCGACGGCGACGACCGGATCGCGCCGGAGCGCCAAGCACATGAAGCCGGAGCCGTTCGATTGCCAGCTCCGCGACGCCTTCAAGGTCCTCGACAAGGACGCCACGGATTCGTCTCCGTCGCCGAACTCCGCCACATCCTCACCAGCATCGGCGAGAAGCTCGAGCAACTCGTTAAACCCAAGAAGAGAGGTAAAATCGCAATTCCATGGTCTATAATCTGTCTGGGCGGGTGTAGAAATCAGGTGGGCTTGTCTCGCTTTAATGGGTGAGGGATTGTATTAATGGGTGAGGGATTGCATATCTGATTCTGGGTTTTGCTCAGAGTTCCTTAAAGAGGCCAAGCTTGGTTTTTCTGCAGCTGAGAACTCTGCTTATGTTGTTGTTGGTTTTTTGCTCGAGCAACTTGGGTTTGTGTCGTTTTATTGCATTTGTGCCGTTTGGTTGGATTTATTTTGTTGGATTTGTGTCGTTTTGTTGGATTTATGCCGTTTTGTTGGATTAGTTTTGTTAGATTTGTGTCGTTTGTCATCTTGAGAATCTGATTGAGTTTATTAATTATTTAATATATTATTTTAAATATTATTACATGTTTTTAAAAATGTAAAACCAAACGCAATTTTAGTTTTTTTTTTAAACTGAAAACAATTTCAGAATAAAACTACCAAATGTATTTTCAGAAATTATTCCAAAATGAAAACGTAAACGTTTTCATTTTCATTTTCATACAAAAAACAAAAACGTTTTAGAACCAATTCCAAACGCACCCAGCATTACGCTCCATTTATTGTAGCTTTTGTTTTGCTGTCGTTTTCTTGTGCATATGTCGTTTTTAAGAAGTTGTCGTTGTCCAGTTATAATGCTGTTTTTCTGCAACGTCACCTCTTCATAATAGATAATAGAGATGGTAAATCGGCAACAAACAGCATTTTTTGAACTCCCTTCCTTTTCCAATTTCCACATTTAATACTAGACATGCTTGATTCAAACAGAAAATTTGAACACGAATTCAAATTTTTATTGGAAAATACAGTAGCAAAAAAGTTTGAATTTTGCACATACAGGCACACTAATTTTTTGTTCTTAAGATTTTCATTGTATTAAAAAAAATGAATTGTGCACATACAGGCACACTAATTTTTTGTTCTTAAGATTTTCATTGTATTAAGGAAAAAAATGAATTGTGCACATACAGGCACACTAATTTATTGTTCTTAAGATTTTCATTGTATTAAAAAAAATGAATTGTGCACATACAGGCACACTAATTTTTTGTTCTTAAGATTTTCATTGTATTAAGAAAAAAAATGAATTGTGCACATACAGGCACACTAATTTATTGTTCTTAAGATTTTCATTGTATTAAAAAAAATGAATTGTGCACATACAGGCACACTAATTTTTTGTTCTTAAGATTTTCATTGTATTAAGGAAAAAAATGAATTGTGCACATACAGGCACACTAATTTATTGTTCTTAAGATTTTCATTGTATTAAAAAAAATGAATTGTGCACATACAGGCACACTAATTTTTTGTTCTTAAGATTTTCATTGTATTAAGGAAAAAAATGAATTGTGCACATACAGGCACACTAATTTATTGTTCTTAAGATTTTCATTGTATTAAAAAAAATGAATTGTGCACATACAGGCACACTAATTTTTTGTTCTTAAGATTTTCATTGTATTAAGGAAAAAAATGAATTGTGCACATACAGGCACACTAATTTATTGTTCTTAAGATTTTCATTGTATTAAAAAGAACTACATATATTTTTTATTAAATTATGATAGAATTAAAAAAAAAAAAAAAAAAAAAAAAAAAAAAAAAAAAAAAGACCCCCATTCGAAACTCAATTCTCCCCCAAAGTGAGGACTGCGTTATATATTTTAACGTGGATTCTTCCATATGAATTTACACACACACACACAAAAAGCGAAAAAAAAAAGATAGGAAACTAACTGGTAAGCAAAGAATTTACCAATGAGCTAATAAGTTTTAATGATTTGGTGTACACCCGAATTTACTTCTGTTTCTGTTTTCTGTTTTCCTCTCCTCTCCTCGTTCCTCTACTCCACCCGACTCAAACGTTTGAAAATACCTACTAATAGAAAATTGCCTCGTTCCACATAGATATACATCTAATCCATACACGCATATTTAATTCTAAAAACATCATAAAAGTCAAGTTTCCATATTTTATCAGCTATAAGGAAAACTGGAAGCTTCACATGTTGACGTTGTATATACCAAAATGATGGAAACATAACAAAGGTAATCCAGCAATGTCCAGAACCACTTGAATAGATTGTTCAGGACACATACAGAAGAGAGACAGATATACAAACAAGCACGCTAAGTGCACAGCGGTATGCAGGTTCCCCCTTCCGGGTTTTGTTGTTCTTTCCATATCCGCCCCGTAACTCGCAACTTGAGATCTTTCCTTTCTCCTCCAGAGAAGAAGATGGCCAAGTTGCGTTGTATTATGAGGCCATCATGGCTGTCTCTGACCTTCCTGTGGCTATCCCTAATGCTTCTAGGGTTGCCTTCCCAGATAAGCTTTCGGCCATTTCCCCCAACCTCGAGGCTGTAGCTGTAGTTATGAGCTTCTGTCTCGTCTCCCATGAAACGGAGAAAGGCCATGTAGACAGGAGCCATCCCGATTTGGAAGGCTTCAAAATGGAGACAGAAATATTGACCAAAACAATGGAAGACCTACCAAAAGCAAAAGCAGCGCAGATAAAGACAACTATTTCCCCGTCAGCAAAATAAAAAGAGTTCGACTTGCAATTCTGTGACTAAAGTAACAAGTGGCTCTTAAATCAAACTTAAAGAATGGAAAACAAAAACATAAATCTTGCTTGTGCCAACGTGCCACAAGGTCACAACTCATTTAGTCATATCAATGCATTATCATAACTTGGAACCGTCGTAACAATACAACTTAAAGTCAATATGACCACATTATAACATAATGAGAATAGCCATTTGATAATTTTTGCAACATATCCCAAATCAAATTCTTAATCCTTCATAAGAATGGGACAGAAGAGAGAGATTGGTACTTACGGTTAACATCCATGTAGCGTTTTCTACTTCACGGGGATTAGCCTTGACGTAACGATGGTTAAAAGTGGAGCCAGAATGCATATCCACCTTGTGATCATCGCGTAGATGAGAAACAAGGAACCGTATATCACCAACAACGGAGCAGTCTGATCCAGCGTACGGGCAGTTGTAGGGTCTGAAATTACAAACAAGCTCATGTTTGATTTTACTGTAATAGGGGAATATCTCCGGACACCCAAGAGCTAAATACTTGCAAGGCATGTCAAGTGATTCAGCCACCTTTTCCAGTGCCAAACACCTTATGTCACCAAGATCAAGTTTGCAAGTCGGGCATCGGTTGTGTATAGTTTTGCAGGCAGAACAAAGAGTATGCCCATTGTGACACTGCAGAAGCAAATATTTTTCAAGATATCAGCTATAATTCTAAGCTGAACAAAATTCAACCAGAAGCTTCAATAATTGAAACAAATATCATCAAATATTTTTCAAAGTTAAGGATCCAAAGAGATTTTGAATAACATCCTAGTTGCAAAAATAATGTATGAGATTGAAACTAATCTATCTTTTAACACATAAAACAAAAAATGAAGATCTCAAAATTCCCCAATAAAAATCCTGACTTTCCTTAAAATCATGAAAGGCCTTCCAACCCCTAAAAGAACCCCAAAATCCAAATTCTCAAAAAAAAAAAAAAGAAAAAAAAGGAAGAAATCAACCACTATTGTCTCACAAACACAATGGTCCATGCAATTAAAAGCCCACAAGCAAATAACAACTATAGTAATTTTAATTTAAAAAAAATCGTTGCTAACAGAAACAAACAAAAAATAAGACAAAATCAAGAAAAACAACATGGGCAAAAGAGAAAACAGAGAAATATAATACAGAAAAATTAAAAAAAAATGCAAAAATAAATATAATGAGAGACCTGGTGGATGGGAGGGTACATGGAATTGGAGCAGACGGGGCATTCTAGAAGCTTGTAGACACTGGTCGTGGTGGTGGTGGTGATTGGCTTCTGAATCTGATGCTTTGGAACTGAGACAAACTGGTGGCAACGGCTCTGGATCGCATCTTCGTCCAAAAACTCCGACGAGGCCACGCTTTCAGGGCTCGGGGATTCCATTTCCGCAAAATAGACGCAACCCAGAATTTCAAACGAAGCAAAAATGAAAATTTATCAGTTTTTCTTTGGTGGGTATGATTCCTCTTCTCCGGAAAATGATTGGAAGAAGAATGAAATAATTTGATCTCAATGTGCCTAAGTAATAAAGGGGGGAAAAAGAAAATAAAAATGAAACTATTTTTATGAATTGCTTCTTTTTTTTTTTTTTTTTTTTTTTTTTACTTTTTTTTTTTAGTACCTCAAAAGAGGGGCTTTTCTTTCTTTTGGATTTGGACACTGGTAAAAAAAAGTAGGTCGCGGTCGACCCTCCAAGGAATCTATTTTCTCAGCGAGTTTCAATTTTCCAGCCGATTTTTAATTTGATTTGCAAGCTCATTTATTTGTTTGTTTTATTTGAAATTTGATTGGTCACCTCAAAAATAACACTGACAGTGACAATGCCAAAGGGGAAACAAAAATATGTTAATAGGGATTAATTCTAAAACAAGCATTGTTTATAGGTGTAATTTTATTTATAGCAGCGAGAGGTAAAGAAAATGGTCTTCTTGTTTTGTTTTTTTTTTCCTGTTGTTAACCCTTAATTCGGTATGGAAAAAAAAAATGTGGGTCAAAGCAATGACGTAGTCAACGTAAAAAATGCTAATAAAATCAACTCTTAATACGTTTAAATAAGTAGTATATATGTATAGACTACTCAACATATTTGAGTAATAAAGATTTTAATTAGTAAATTAGATAAGAAAAAATATTTAGAAGGTACATAACATTTCTGAGAAAATAGTAATTGTGAGTGTCAAAAGGAAAAAAAAAGATCTTTAAGTATGTAAGACACATTTGAATAAATACATATGACTTCAATAAGAGTAAATTAGAGAAAATGTACGTGTGAGAAAGTAGTAATTGAAAGGATTTTTTTTAAAAAAAAAAAATCTTAATTAGGAACACATTTTGAGAAAAAATATTTTAATGGGTCATTTTCTATATAGCTTAGATTATATCTAAGAATATTTTAGAAAGGACTAATTTGAAAGAAAAATTGTTTTCGTAAGAACAAATTAAAGAAAAAAATCAATTAGGTACATTTAAAAATATAAGATTTAATAGAAAAAGATCAAAAGAACAATATAAGAAAATAAAATAATTTGAGATTAAATTTTGTGAGGATATATATTTGAAATTTTTATTGATAAGGAGGGCATATATAAAAAAGTTTTGAAAAAACATACACTAAGGAAACGTTTGGTTTATTGATTAGAATCATGATATTAGAATAATTTTTTATTTACGTGTATTTTTTGTAAGAAAAAATACTGTAATGAACTATAAACTATTATTCAAATCATGATATGAATACTCTTATTAAATGTCTTCTAAAATTTAACTATCAAAAATCCAGGGGGCATATGCCCCCGGGCCTCACCTCCGTCCGCCGCTGGGTCAAAGCAAAGGGGTGACAAATGAGGTGGCTAATTGGCTATGGGGTGTATTTGCCATTTGGTGCGCGTTAGTTTTGGACTAATTATTTGCAATGGACGACTTGCTTTACTTTGTCTGCCCTGTAGGGTCCCAATTTATCCTTTTATCATACTTTTGCACTTCTGGCATTACATTGTGGGCGATATGAAAAATATGTATCTGCAGATTGCCTTGTCAAGAGCTCAATTATCTATGCCCAAATTTGAACCCAGTGTTCTACCGAAAAAATTTGAACCCTAAGACTCATCTGTTAGTTTAAGTCATTAATTCTGATTTATTGACAGAAATTTTTGATAGAAATTTTTTTAATTTAAATTTTTTAAGAGAAGAAAACACTATCATAGCAAAATTAAAATCAATGGTTTAAATTTATTAACCAAATATGCCCTTATGCTATGTTTGGTAGGAAAGAAAGAAAATAGGATAAAAAGAAAATATGAAAGTGATAGAAAATAGCAATGATAGAAAGGAAATTGATTTTTTTTTATGTTGTTTAGTACGAGAAGATGGAAAGAAAATGAGGTTACTTTCACTTGTTTGGTATTGAAAGTTAAATTAGGAGGAAAGAAAAAATTTTATTCATAAATTACTTTTATGCCCTTAAATTTTTTACTTGGATGTTGATGGAGAAAATAGTAAATTAGTAACTTTACTCACTTTAATTAGTTGTCCCCTTTTTTTATTTCATTTTCCGCCTACTTGTGAGAAAAAAAAATAGTGGGACCCACATGTATATTTCTCACTTCATTTTCTCTTCCATCAAACAACTTACATTTCTATTTTCTCTCTCAAAATCTCACAATCTTCTTCCTTCCTTCTACTTTCTTTCCTACCAAACATAGTGTTAGTGTCCCAACAAGAAAGAAAAGAAAAATGGGACCAAGTGGTGTTAGTGGCCTGGCCTGAGATTTTCAGTCCTGGCCGAGAAGAATTAGGACACTAATCATTTGCACTTTTTAATTTTTCTTGTTTTTTTTTCTCCTTTCTTCTATTAGTTATTTTACTCTGCCAAAACAGCTTGCTTGATGCGCTTTTTTCGTTGATTTACTTGGTGAAGATCACTTTCTTCAATTTTTTTTTTTTATTTCCTTTGCTTGATCATTAAAAAGAATAAAGGAAAAAGAGATGCTAGTTATATTAAAGCTTATCTGTTGTCTGATTGTTGACGCTGAATATTTTTGTTTAAGTAGCTTTTGGGTTAATCTAAAAAATAATCCCCAAACTTTTAATTGAATGTCACTTTGCTCAAAGGCGTTTAAAACGTCATAAAGCTGATTTTGATCTATTGTTTCTAACGAAGTTAATCTTTTTGTTAGTTGACAATACCTTAGTTATGTAAGGTAGGCAGTTAGATTATTAAAATGGGTTATACATGCCATTAGAACCTTATTCGATTAGAGAAAAAAAAAAAATTGTGTCCCCACGTCAAATAGAGGGCTTGTTCATTTGCACCAAACTCAAAAAAAAAAATTAAACTCAAATTACAACTTTATTCAAATTCATGTTCTTTTGTAAAATTTGAGTGGTTAAGGACTCATTTAGTTCGTTGATTCGAGTTTTTAATTCAAGTTGAGATGTGACTTTATGTGAGAACTTTTTATTATAATAAAAAAGTTAGATGTGATTATTTCTGAGAGTTTTTTTACTGTAGCAAAACTCGAATCGGTAAAATGAACGGCAAGTTCAAGTCCCCCCTTCAACTTAAATTCCTAAACTCAAATTCAAGTTAATAAATAATATTTTTTTATTCTTAAAAATGTCATAACTTTTTCGTTGTAATTTCGATTGAGATGATTTTTTTTCCTATGCGTTCACAACGAATAGATGAATAAAACCCCACCCATACACCCTATTAAAATTTTCCATCACCATTGAGTTTTTATTAAAATACTATCCAAATACAAATTCAAGTTTTGACCCACCCAAACATAAACTCAAATAGATTCTCAATTCAAACCATAATTCAAAATGTGCGCATTCAAACACAAACTCAATTAGAATCCCAACTTAAATCATATTCAAATATACTTTAACTCAAATCAAGATTTGAGTTCAAGTCACCATAACTCAAAAAATACAAATGAACAAGCTTAGAATGTACCAAGAAAAAAAATATGAAAATCATCCCAAATACTTTTTCAATAAGTTAATCTTACACAAAAAGCCACTAAAATGTCCATTTTACCATAACTTAAAGAGACGATGGGGCACATGATACCTTGTCATATCAAGATAAACCATGATTAGTTTTAAAGGTGTTTTAAATGTTAGAGGCCAAAATGAGATTTAATATACAATTTATGATATTTTTTATATTAATCCTTGTAATGATTTATGTATATATATATTTTTCAATTGAAAGGTAAATATTATTATTTGAGTAATAAACTTGAATTGAGACTCCATATAATTACTTTTAAAAGAATATTTTATTTTCGCGTAGCATGGGATGCATCAACGTATAATGGTCATGATTCTTAGATAAGTTTGTCTGTTTTGAGGGAATGATGACATAACAGATGTCTTGGATAAAAAGTTACTTCGAGTAGATATCGTTTGTGCCATGAAGTAGCCATCCCAAAGAGTAGTTGAAGCGGACGTTTGAGCCACTCTCATGGCCATATGTTATTCTTGAGTAGTTGTTCTTTTAGAGTGTAATTTGAGTGCATTTTTTGAATTGAATTTGAGTTATAATTTGAGTTAAAATTAAAACTTGAATAAAATTGAGTAAAATTAAATAAAATTAAAACTTAAAAGAACGTAAACTTAAATAAAATTGAAACTTAAGTTGTCTTTTTTTAAGTTTTTTTGACAAAAGAACATGGCTGACACAAGCTTGAAACTTAAAAGAGCAACATCAAATCTCATATAAACTTTCTTATTCACAATCACAAGAACCGCGTGATAATGTTCTCCATTTGAAGATAAGGACAGCCCCGTCATAATGGTCTTATTGACAAGATTTGTGGCTTCTCACAAGCAACACAGGGCTTGTTCTTTTGTAAGTATTTTTGAGTTAAGTTTTTGAGTTGAGTTTGAGTTGAATTTGAGTTATAATTTGAGTTTAAGTTGTAACTTGAGTTTGCGTTTGTTTGTGTATACTTGAGTTATGGTTTGAGTTAAGAATTTTTTGAGTTTGTGTTTGTTTGTGATAAAACTTGAGTTGTGAATAGTGAATATCCTTTTTTTCTCCTCCAATATTTTTATTCAATTTTTTTACAATTTTTTTATTTTTCCGCCTTTATTATGTTTTATTGTAATAAATTACTTGTAATTATAAAAACAAAAAAATAATAAAAATAACAAGTACAAGTTCAGTTTTCATTTTAATTAAATTCAAAAAGACAACAAAAATACATATTTAAGTTTAAAAAGACAACAATGAACGAGGGCATTAGCGTGCACGACGGTTCCAGTACACTGCCAACATTGTATGCGCCCTTGCATCCCTTAAAGCATTCATGTCAACTTCTGCATTAGACTCCAATAGTTGACCCTCATGGTTAGTATTGTCGTTAATGTCCTCATCAATATTCGGTGGATCAATGTCTGCAACCGGAACGCCATCTTGTGAGTATTGGTCCAATAGCCTGTCCCCATTACGGTACATGTAGATAAAATTATGTATTATAGCACACGCTACTGGAATCATAACTTGTTTGGTCATGGGGTAACGATTAATGGTTCTCAAAATACGAAA